ATATATATATTTATTACTCTGTATAAAATTATATGACTAAAATACATTTAACTTGTTTTGTTAACCTTTTTTTGATCATTGACTTGTCCCCAATAAATAAACTTTTCTTTGGTTCCAGTCTCAGTTATGAAAAATTGTTACATTTTTTATAACAGAATTGCAAGTTGCCACATATCTTTACATACATTTTAATAAGTTCACCATGTAAACAATGAGGGTATATGATACAAGGCCACTTAGCTACTATGTTTTCTTAGAGCCAACTCGAATTGTAAAGGGTCCAGAAGATCAGATTGCTCGACGTGGCTCCACTGTGCGGTTGGACTGTCGTATTAGGAGCGATAATACTTTGAGAACGGTAGTCACTTGGATGAAGGATGATACTCAGTTATACATAAGTAGCAGGTTTGTACACGCAGAATATATTATTTGGTTAGAAATCACATCCGGATATCAATGATTTGTTTAAAACATGCTGGATATTTAAGCCCTTGTTCACATTACTGCGATGCGGCATCACAGGTGCGTTGAAGGGTATGTTGCGGTAGGGCAGCTCCTTCATTTGAATGGGCTGCCTACAGGGGCGGAACTACCGCCATAGCGACCCATGCGGGCGCTATGGGGCCCGCAACAGACGGGGGCCCGGTCAGGAGCAGAGCTCACAATCTTCCCGGCCGGGCCCCTACCAGCGTCGGACTGAGCATACGGGCACTGCCCGAGAGTCAAAGATGGGGCCCGTCAGCGACCCCCGAGCCCTTTTCAGCCCGAATGGAAGGGGATGCCGGTTTGTTAAAACGGCGACGGCAGTGTCGCCTGCCTCCCGGCCGGGCCGGTTATCCCGCACGGGACGCAAATGCTATATTTGAACTGCACGGATTCCGCTCGTTTGCGACCATTATATAACCGTGAACGTGCGGAATCTGACTGATTATTGCTCTTGCAGTATTTTGGGGTTTGCGTGGGTTAAAACTCTCTATTCACACTGGAGCGGCTGTCCGAATACGAGCAGAGCCGCTCTAAACAGATAAAACAATGCACTTTTATGTGCTTTGTCCAGACTGTTGCGGGACCGCACGGTACGAAACCGCACGGCCCCCAAAATAGTGCAAGCGCGATAATCCAGCGGATTATGCACGTTTGTGGCTATATAATAGCTGCAAACGAGCAAAATCCGTGCAGTTGTTTCACATATAGTGTTATATTACGCCTGCTGCCGGCCATCTTGGTGATGGACGCCGACAGTGAGAGGAGGGGACGTTCACCCGGCAGGATGCGGTATGCCGCCGGGTCCCCTCCACTCTCCTGACACTGTCGGGCTCTCAGTCCAAGAACGAGTGCCTGACATTTCATAAGGGGTGACCCCAAAATGACCGTCAGTCCAATGGTGGCATCCAGGTGCATGCACTATTTTTTGCGGGCAGGGGGTGTCTGGAATTCAATTGACATGAATGGCACTGCCGCGCCCCCTTTCACCCCAGAATGCAAGGAGACTTTGTGTATGTGATCACTGAGTCAATGGCATTATTATTTTTCTTTTTGTGGGTTTTTTTGGTGGGGGGTTTGTGGCGGGGGGGAGGGGGCCTTACAAAATTTTGCTATGGGGCCCTGTGATATGTAGTTAAGCCCCTGGCTGCCTACCACATCTAAATCGGACTTAAAGTGCATGCCCCCTTTTTTTTTTAAAGGTTATCATGTGTTGTGATGCAATGCAGATCCGATGTATATGCATTGGGGTGCCACTAAGAAATAATAACACTGCAACATGCAATCTCATGTGAGGATGTGGGATTGCGCTCATGTGTTGGAATGCATGTGCTACTGTATCACAAAGATGTGAATGAGGGCTTAAAATACATTGCTTGATGCTCTTGCATATCTGTGCCATTTCTCAATTTTCAAATGCCTTGCTACTTATAAGTACGTTTCTGTTTTGAAAAACACATCAACTTTAAAAAATATGAAAGTCTCCAGGACCCACAAAGGCATATGAAAATGCAAAATGTATAGCTATATGCCTATTTCTGGTCAAATGCTTTTAGTGGATGAATGATAAATATATCAGCCCTGGAGCATGCACCTGCATGCACCTTCAAAGAAGTCAGCAATTGTATCTGAAGTATTCCTGCACCAACAGATTTCTTTTACGGTCTAGTTGTGAGTGGGGCTCAATGTGAATCACGTGTCAGCTTTTTTTTAAATCTCTGGCATTACTTTCTATCTCTGCTACATTCCATATTAAACTAATTTTCCAAATACAAATGTTGTCCTCCGTTATTTGTTTACTCCGCATTATAGAGAAACAGCTTGTTTACTGTGTGAAACCATCATTAGGCAACTGGGCACAACTAGGAGTTTTGATTTATCTTGTTTGAAGCTGTAAAGATAGCTAGTAGCAGTTAATCACATTCTATCGGACATGTTTTGTAATGTTGAATGTTTGCGCTGCTTATTCAAGCAGCCTTTTCAGTTCTAAAGAGTGCCAGGAACATACCTTAGGGGTAGGCAGGGTTATTATTATTATTAATAATAATAATAATGGTATTTAAATAGAGCCGACACTTTACTCACGTACATACATAATAGGGCCAATTTAGACAGGGACCAGCTAATCTACCAGCATGTCTTTGGAGTGTGGGAGGAAACCAGAGTACCAGGAGGAATCCCACTCAAGCACAGGGAGAACATGCAAACTCCTTGCAGATAGTGACCTGGCCAGGATTCGCACCAGGGACCCCCCAGTTCTGCCAGGCAGAAGTGCTAACCACTACGCCACTGTGCTGCCCAGGGTTGTTAAAATGATGTTATATATAGGTGATATATGGTGTCAGGGGCCCCTACCCCTGTTTAGGAATGCTTGTTCCAGTTGGATATAGATGGCCTCTTCTTTGAAAGAGGCCATCTATATCCAACTGGAACAATCATAAATAAAACAGCATTGGGGACGTTCAGCACCATCTTCCACCCACATAAAATTCGCGTAATAAAAAGTGATGAGTAAGAGTGAGTTTGATTCATCAAGGGTTCAGTGAATCCTGTTAGAAATTTGGCTAACACAAACAAAGTAATTATTATTATAGTAATAGTATAATAATAGTTTGTTAGTAAATTCTGCCAATTTTAGAGCTAATAAGCAGGGCATTGTAAAAAAAAAAAAAAGAGGCATAGGAAGCTGGCACTGCGATAAACATGTTGCCAAAACGTTTTTTCAAGAATATTGGAGAGAGGGTACTTTTTATGTAGGTTTGATGTCAACATGGAAAATACACAAATTATTTATATTGCAGTTTTGGGGGGATGCTTTATGCTGTAAGGGGTGTTATGGAACAGTACGATTTTCATGGACAGCCTCATCAACTGCATACTTTGGCAGCACATATTGGAATGTATTTTTTGCCTTTTTTGGATTAGCTTTGCTTGCATACAACAGCAGCACTTAAATCTGATTTATTTCCCTTTCAAAAAAAGAGTTTTTTCAAGTAGTTTTAGAAGTGACACATACTTTTTCAACAAGGTATAAAAGGACTACTTTAACTGGTGGATAGAAATTGGCCATAGGTTCACTGGAGCTGTCCCTGTTCTTGCTCATGCACAACTCTGCTGGCAAGTTTTTTATCAAACCAATATCAAGAATTAAAAGACAGCAGATGATACAGCAATGTAAAAATTAGCCAGTGGTAGGACAGTTTTTATATGGTGGAGTAGACCAAAATGTAGAGACGCAAGGCACAGGCAGGTGTCTTCCTTTAAGAATCAAACCAAAGAGGCTATAACTCCGTTGTCTAAAATTTGGACATGAGGACAGTTTTAATGAGCAAGACTAGACTGTAATGTACTAAAGACACAGGGCACAAGCAGGTGTTCTACTTAAAGAATCCAAGGACTGCAGATGGTAAATCATTCTAATTGACTTTTCAAAAATAGTTTGAAAATTATTAATTTTGTGAAAGGCATTTGAAATGTCTTGTCTTTACAAACTGACCCCTAAATATTGTTATGTGTCTTGTTTTTGTGACATATTTTACACACAGAAACTTTGGGATGTTTTAATGGTTCTGATTTACTATAGAATGAAGAAGGAAGATGACGGCCTGACTATATTTGGAGTAGCAGGGAAGGATCAGGGAGCATACACCTGCGTGGCTAAAACAGAACTGGATCAGGACTTTGCAAAAGCCTATCTCACTATCCTGGGTAATTGCTTTTTCTAAATGTATTAGCTTGCTTTATAAGATAAAATCCAGATGTCTTGTAAGTGCATAGCTGTAAAACAAAAACATTTTCTTAGTAAATATTTCTTTACATATGATTACTATAAGCTATTTTGCAATTTACTGTTAGTAAAAATTATATTTCCATTTCTAGTTTCCATCTTCACCCAGCTATGATTTTCTAAAAATGTAAAAAAAAAATCAAATATGGCTACCTTGTAAATATGGTAAACGTGACAACAGTGGTAGCATTCTGTATATTATTGTGTACAGAAGTCCCACTGAAATGCAATTTCCTCCTCATGCAATTTTCTGGCTGCTTATCTCTTATTATATGTACAATAGCATGTTACAATAGACCCTTCTGAAAAAGCAGCAGAAAGTAGGGAGCGAGTAGAATCCTTCAGAAATAGAAGCAGGTAGAACATTACACTGAAATGTGTTAAAAACCTTACATAACTATATGTCTGACCAGGAGAGATTTTTTTATTTTTCTGAACAAAACTGGATTTACAATTTTACCATAGTACATTTGAAAGCTAGTGAAGGCCAGAAAAGTATGTTTTTTTTCACACAGGTTTGCCACTTTGACCTGGACAGTCAAGTTTTACAAACTGCTGTTTTGTTCAAAACATCACTTCCCTGCTGTCTGATTTTGACAGCCTGTGGACATTTTCTGTTTCCATGTGCATGTGCAGGGTGGCTTGCACAACATGAAGAAAAGGCAAGCACTTCATGTAAGATATTGCTCCATAGCATATTGGCCCCTGCAAAAGCTTGTAGCAGCCAAGCAGTCGTTTACCTGAAAAACTCGTAGCAACCAAGCAGCAAGACATCAGTAAGCCCACCCCCCTGCCCTCTGTCTCACATTTCAGAGCTTGTAGTGGCCAAAATGCTTGTCTTCCATGAGTTGTTATTATTATGTTAACACCTATAACTGTTTAACAATTCTAAACCATTGTTTTTAACCATACATAACAACCAACCAAGGGTGTAGATATTTTTGTTTTCCTTTGGGGGGGGGGGGGGTTTCC